AAAGATATATAGTGGAAAAAGAAAAAAAAATCAATTTAATACAACAATGAAAAAGTATTTCTATAGGTATTTTGGCCTAAGTCACTGTGCAAGCATCTATATCTTAAACAAGTTGATGACCTAATCATGCTAGTGAGTACATTTATATATTTGTAAAATCTCTAATAATGGAATGGTATAAATATATACAGTCTCACAACTCAAACCATTATACCTTTCTCAATACACTTGTTTAATGTTCTTTCAATCATCAGTCCTCCAATCTTTCTCTGTCAATTTTCTTTTTTTAGCAAACCATATCCATAAATGTTAATAGACAGATGAAGCTCATTGCTTTTCAAAAGATTGAATTTCCTCAACAAAATTTTTATTTTGTTTTTTTTTTGAGATTATGAAACAACTTAGTCTACCAACCCAGTTTAATACAAATATTGATTTTTAAAGTGCCTGTAAAGTATTTGTGCTTGTGTGCAAATGAGTGCTTACCTCAATGACAGTGTAAATATGCATATATTTGTGTATATGTATTATCTATGTACATTTAGGCATGAGAGACTACTGGCATTTTTATTCACACACACTCACTTAAATATATATATGTCTACATATATGCATAAAAACATAATTTACAAATATAAACAGGTGCATGATCAAGTAAATATGCATCCCTCTTACACACACACAGACATGTGTATGTATGAATGTATGTGTATATATATATATATATATATATATATATAAAAGTATATATAAGTATTTAGGCAGCAATCCTTCTTTCATGCAAACTTCATTAAATATGACAGACATGGTGCTTTAAGTTTTTTTTATATAATTTCTCATGATCTTATAATTTTTTTCTTTTCAGTAGATAAATTATACAAAAACTGTCCAAATGTTATATTTTTCCAAGTGCTCTCAGCTATACATTTAGCCATTAATAAAACTAATATAATACTGAATACATACATACAACAATCTATTTCCAGTTAACAGTTAATATATTTCATCCTTGAAAATGGCTAAATGTATAGCCAAAAGTGCTCAGAAAAGTATAACATTTGGACAGTTTTTGTATAATTTATCTACTGAAAAGAAAAATATTATGAGAGTATATAACTTAATCAAAGCACCTTGTCTGCCATATTTATTGAAGCTTGCATATATATATATATATATATATATATATATATATATATATATAACTTCAAACATTATTTTTTAATAGATACCTGTATTTGAATAGAGACTCCATTTCATTTTAAACAGTTTTTATTTCATCTACTGGCCTACACACTTGAGAAAATTACTGAAAAGAATATACAAGTATGCAAGTGGGTAGATTAAATAATGTTTAAAATGAAACAGATCATCTACTTAAATAAGAGTATACACCAAAATAGTGTTTGAAATAATATTAATAATAACATGGCAAATCAATAAAAATCCATTAGTTCTTTCAAAATTGCTTTGTTTATATTTCAGATATAAAACCAAACAGTTATGCCTTTCAAAAAAAATCTGAACAAGTTAGTGTGCTTTAAACACAAATAGAACCTTGCTTGATTGTAAATCTCTTTGCAGATGAACACAGTTATAGCTCACCAGATCAGGTCTGAATCCTCCTGGAGGGCACATTTTCTTTTGCGCTTTTTCTAAAGTGAGCAGGCTTGGTAAACAAATACTGTTTAAAATGAAACAGAGTATCTATTCAGATTCAGATACCCACTAAAAATAATGTTTGAAGTAATAAAGATAAATAAAATCCATTAATTTTATATATATATATATATATATATATATATATATATATATATATATATATATATGATAAAGTATAGTTTTAAAGGATGCTATATTTATGGGTTAAAGGGCTCAATATCAGAGAGAGAATATATAAACATAAAAGTGGACATTGAAGTCAACAGTTTGTTTCATGCTAAATGCCATCATCAGGCCATGATGACTGCATTTAGCATGAAACAGACCATCGTCTGAGAATTGACTTCAATGTCCATTTTTATATTTATATATATATATCTAAGTTTTGTCTTCTTGCTTCTGTGGTGTGATAGATAAATTGTCATCTAAATTACACAAAAATGAAATTAACACTGACATCATATTTTAACAGATATATTTACCAAAATTACACAAACCTATCATGAAATACTAAAGAGTAAATTTATTCAATAAAATCACCATCAGCTTCAACCACGGCCTCCAGACAACTTCAGAATCTTCTGCAACTCTTCTGGACATTCTCCTCATTTAAGTTGGTGAATGCTGCCATAATCCTTGCTTTCAGTTAATCTTTGGTATTACGAGGAGTTTTGTTGGCCTATGCCCCATATATAATAATCAAGGATGTTGCAGTCTGAAAAGTTAGGTGGCCAGATGTAAGGAGTGATGTGGTTGCAGAAATTGTCTGACAGCCATGACTGGATTCTCCTGCTAGTTTGGCATGGTGCAGAGTCCTGCTGCCAGACAAAGAGTCTTCAAGCAGCCACCCTCTTGACCCAGGGCAGTACTATCTCCTCAAGACACTTGGTGTAGGCCTCTGTGTTGTGTCTGAGGCCCTCACCAACAAATTCAGTTCTTTTCTTATCAGAACAATCAGGGTGAGTTTTTCAAGCTACCATACCTTCATAATCACTATTAGACTCATCCAAATATTACCAAATTCTCTGCACTGTCCTTAGATTGACACCCAAACATTCTGAAATGTTTGTATTGAAGCTTCCGGCACAAATACCAAGGCGTACAACATGCCATCTCCAAATTTCTGGCATAATGAATTGGTGCTCTTTTTCTCATAGACGGTGCCCAACTGACCCTATTATACTCTGCAGACAAAATCAAAAACAACGTGCATGCACAAAATTAAAAATATAAAATGGCAACAATTTAACTATCGCACCCAGTATATATATATACATACATACATACATACATACATACACACACACACTCATGATATGGCAGAAATACCTCCCGTATAAATACAAGACATTAGATAGATGATTCATCATGTTATTTTTTAAATATATCATTGGAAATTAACTTGGACACTCATCTGTATTACATATTTGTCTGTTTAAAAGCAATACCATAAATTTGTTTTATTTCTATATCAGAAAATTTAAAGAAGAATGTATGTAAAATCAACAACAATTTACTAATGATAGGTCTTGAAGATATTTAAACCAACTCCAGAATATCCAATGCAAATGCTAAAAATAGTATATACAATTAAGTATGCATTATTTAAAAAATGTTTGTAAAATGCATTCAAATAGTTTTGAATATATCTTCAAATTTAACTTTACTTTCTTTACTGGCATTTAATTCAATTAGTTAAGTGTTGCATGTGATGCAGGCTCGTGTGATCATGTCACTTGATTCATGACTGACTAAGCAAAAGTTTCTGTTTCTTTCTGCAGTAGACTGATTGCCAACCAAGGCTATAGAATTGAGTCTTGCTATCATAGTTGTGGAGAGAAGAGATGGATTTCTAACTTTGCCAAGGGTATTTGCACGTAAGTGAATGTAACAACCAAACGCAGCTCTCCAATTATTCATTCTGAGCCAATATACATTACAATATAACACACATCAATGGCATTTGATTTTATGTTCAATAAATGAAAACTTCCATAACTCATAAAGAATCTCTTTTAAAATGTACAAATTATATTTTTTTCCAAATTTATGAAATAAATAAGCTTAAATAAATCAAAAGTTTATATATTTATATACCCAAAATACAATTATGAGATGACAGAGCCGATCTATTGGTTAAAAAGTGAAATGACAAAGATGACAACTAGGCAATCCATCAGCTCACCCAATCTATCAGTCTGATAATACAAACCACAAGATTAGCTGGCTGGTCTTCATTACCAGCCAATCAGATTGCTCCTCACATTTCTTGCACATCTGGGCCTTTCAATGGTGGTTTCTATAATAGTTTGCTGTGTTCTGTGTTTTTATATAGATTTTTTTTCCAAGTGATGGCTTGTGAAAAGGGTTCTGTCTTCTTAGCACTGAAACACCAAATGATGCTCTGTCTCCAAATGGTTAAATAGAGCTCATAGTTTCAACAAGGAAATAGATTGTATCTTTACTAGTATATACACTTAATATGAGAGTTTTAATGCATTTAGATTACTGTTTTACTGATATTTTTATAAACCTTAAAGCATTTCCAATGAGTCTAGAGATACTAACTTCTTTTGTTTTATTTTCATGATTTGTCTATAAGCAGTGAAATATATTTTCTACTTTTATAAAATTCTATTGCAAAATTCTTATAAATCAATGGAAATTTTAAAATAAGCTTTTATATGAGATGAGGTACACTTTTTCTTTCAATTCATGTAAATAAAGCAACTCAAAATTCATCATCTGATATGTTCTTCTAAGTTATTAACAAAGAAATAACAGCATAAAAAAGAGAAAGAATTGATAAAATAAAAAATTATATTTATATGATTTGGCAGCTTGGCTTCAGTCACTTTCCCTACTGCTATAAGGTTGTCTCTCTGTGCCTTTTCTATAAATATTTTCTATAAATACTTTTCATGGTAATTTTTTTTAATTTAAGCATAGTACTAGACTGGTGTCAAGATTTCATCAATTTACAGTTGAACTGGCTAAATGTAGCCATAAATTTTATGCTAACAGTTTCTTTTCTTGCACTTCTCACTTGTGAAACTCCCTTCCGGCTCCATGCTTTACAGCCAACTTTAATCTGCAAATATTTAAAAATAATGTCAATCACTATTTACTGTCCTCCTGTTTACGCTTTCCTCTTCCCACTAATGTTTCTGTTCCTAATTCTTCCACACCCTGTAATCACTTGTGTCTTAGTGGCTTTACTACCTTGATACCAATTAAGATAAAAAAATTAAAATGAACCACCTTGCTAAAATGATTAGGATTGTCGCATGTTGAAGGCCAGATAATGAAAATAAAATAGAAAAAAAAATAGTTCAACTTACAAAATGTTGAGTTGCATTTGTCGTCGTATCACAGCATTTCGTTTGTTAACCAACAGGAACCATTCTTGTAGTAATTTTTCTTCTTTGACTTTATTATTCCCTACAAATAAACCAAAAAGTCTATGTAGTGTGAGAGAATAAAATTGAAGCCTAAATAACATTTTAACATAAATTCTCTACTTTCATTCCTTTAAATCCCTTTCATAGAGAGAAGGGTGTGGGTGTGGGTGTGTGTGTGTAATAATGTATTAGTTATGAAATTGTAGAGTTAGATTGAAGGATTCTACCTAAAAAAAAAAAAAAATCATAAAAATATTTTTTTAAAAATCAAACATAAATCTCCATTATTTACACTCTAAAAATCTAATGAATGAAATATTTTATATCATCAATAAAAATTACCTATAACATACAATGAAAAAACAAAAAGAGCTCAAATATCACAATGTAATAAAGATAATAGTTAATCAACAAAGGCTCAAACTAAAAAGTTATGTACTTTTAGATGAACTGCAATGACAAACAGTCAAAATAAAAAATGCCTTTGTGGAATATGCATCTTACCATCAGGCAAATACACTATATATATATTAAAGATAAGTAAACATTTCTTATTAACCAAGGTCCTGATGAAAAAAATAATTGGATAAATATTTACCAGAACTGCAGATATCAATGCCTCAAAATGGTGTACAAGTTTTACATTATCATAAATGATCAGTTTCAAAATATCTTTATAAAGAAATGATATTGAACTACACACAGAATTTCATAAGTATAATATTTATACATAAATAGACTATCTTACTTAGAAAATAGTGGAACAATCTTCACTCTCTTCTGTATTCTCCACCATTTGACTGTTTCAGACTAAGTTTAATAGATATCTATATGAGGGTGTAGAAACACTCATGTATACCCACATTTATATTCTATTAGTATGAATCAAATTATATATTCACCATGATTGGCAATAACATTTTACTTATTATTCATAATTATTGACAATGACTTTTGATTATTATTCATCATTATTGCCAATGACTTTTTACTTATTAACATTATTAGCAATGTCCTTTTATTTATTCACCATTATTAGCCATGACTTTCTACTTATTATTCATTACCATTTGTAATGTTCTTTTTTCTTATCATACATGATTATTGCCAATGACTTTCTACTTATTATTCACCATTATTGGCCATGAATTTTAATTATTATTCATCATTATTGGCAATGACTTTTTAATTATTTATCATTATTAACCATGACTTTTTACTTATTCACCATTGTTAGCAATGACTTTTTACTTATTATTCGTTACTATTGGCAATGACATTTTACATATTATTCACCATTATTGGAAATTATTTTTTACTTATTCACTATTATTGGAAATAATGAAATCATTATTTGCACAGTCCTTTAACTTGTTATTCACCATTATTAGCAACAACCTTATACTTATTATTCAACATTATTAGGAATATCCTTTTACTTATTATGCATCATTACTAGCAATGACATTTTACATATTATTCATTATTATAGGAAATGTCTTTTCTTATTATTCATCATTACTAGCAATATCCTTTTACTTATTATTCACCATTATTGGAAATGACGTTTTACTTATTATTAACCATTATTAGCAATGTCCATTTACTTATTAACCATTATTTATTGACAATGATCCACTGCCAGTTATCAGGCCAGTCTTCAATATCTTGAATAAAATTCTGTAGCCTTTAATGCGAAAAAGAATTTGATGAACTATTGAATCCAGTTTTCATTAAAGAATTTCTCTCTATCAAAGTGTTTTTTCAGTGATTGGAAAAAGTAATAATCTGTCTATGAATGGTCAAGCGAATATAGTAGGTAGTGTAAAACAGACCAACCAAGTTACACAAATTTTTCCCCGTTATTTTTGCTGTAACCATACATAGTCAAAGAGGAGAACATTTTCTCCTATTCATGAATGCTATCATGACTTTCAACAAGTTTTATGGACATGGTCCAGTTGTTGGACATATAAATGTACATTTAGTATTTCTTTTAAAAACTCTAAATGATGATCTCACCATGCATAACATTGCATTTCTTTCATGGACCTCAGTTTTTTGGGTCAGTTGTGTAAATTACATTGAATATTGTCATATTTTAGTGCACTCCAAATTTATTAACTGCCACATATTAGTAATAAGTCATACATTCATCATTATAATTGGTTCCCCAAAATGGAAATTACTTATGAATCAACCAAATACAAATTTTAAATAATTGTTATAGGTAACTATAAGAAACACTTTGTAAATGGTAATTACAATATTACTCATATTTCAATACAGAATTGTACATATATATGATGATATATGATTTATACTTTGTCATTAAAAAGTAAAATTAGTGAAAATAACTTGTTCAAATTTTATTTTAAACTATTTTATATTGCACTAAGAAAGATGGTATTAACAATTTTGAATATAAACCTTTTTAGCTAAAAAATAAATGCACTCAATAATTTTAACAGATTGATGAAGCCCAAACTACCAGTTATAGTTCTTCTAAACACATTTCTAGTTCTCATTTAATTCCTCAGCAAATTGAAAAAAAATAAAGAAAGAAATTATCATTTAAAAAAAAAAAAAAAATGTTTGTTTTTCTTTACTTTTCCAAACAAGAATGCACACACTCACAAACACAAAAACATGAATGTTAATAGATTCACAAAATAAGATTCAAACACACAGAAATTTGAACAAAAATATAAGCTGACACACAAACTAGACAATATGTTCACATGCTCTTACTAAAAGAAATAGAGAATGAAAAGGAAAACAAAAAGGTTACTTTCCAACAAGGAATTAAAACTGTTTGCTGACTTCACAGTTTGACAGTTAAGTTTAAAAAAGAATTACTGTTGAAATAAAAACAAAAAAAAATGTCAACACGTCGACCATTAGCTTGCATTAGAAGTTGACATCAATTAACCCTCAACAGAAAAATGGTAAAATAGCTCATTTCATATTCTTATTTAACAATGTGGGCAAGAAATTTGCCTTAAGTCCTCATCAAATTTACATCTTTTTTGTCTTTTTTTTTTCTTTTCTTAGTTGGGTATGCATGTGATTATACTGCATTTATAAGTGTAAGTGAAAGAGCATTTTTATGTATTACTTTAAATATACATGTATATAGATGTATTCCTGCATGCATGTATGCCTGAAAGGAAATATAAGATTGCTTCATTGAAGCAGTGAAAATCATAATGCCCCCCCACCACACACACACACACGTGTGTCAAGAAATTTAATTTGGTGGCTGGTAATGCATAGGTAAAAATTTAAAAACACTTTAAACCTCATCTAAACCACTTTTGCACATTTAGCTCTTTATCAATACATTTGAAAACCACATCCTGTTAGGTCTTTAAAAGCCTGACAAGAAACCCAACTTTTTTTTTTCAAAAAATTATACAACACTTACATTAAAAGATAAAGAAATAAAACATTTAAAAATAATATTCCTTACAGTATTCTAAGCACTCAAATAAACAGTAATAATACGTATTATTCAGAGAAATATGCAGTTTGGTACTGTTCAAAGTTAGCACAAGTCTCCTCAATAACAAAAACAAGAACCAAGGAACTAAAGTGCAAATTTCTAAACACTGAACTAGTGCATACCTATATCTACAACCTGGAGCAAGCCTGATTGGGGATCCCAGGTAAATGCTTTGTAAGTCTCACTATCTTATCAACATTTTCTTTTTTTCTACCTATATTTATATATACTGCAAATTAAACTAAACACAATTGACTATTAAAGGATGAAAAATTCTTGCAAATTTTGATGTCATTTTGAGGTCATTTTTGTCCAAATATGTGAATTTCTTTTGCTCATGCTAAGACTAAAAAAAAAAAAACACTATATAAAATTCACTATTTTTATTCATAATGTTGAATATGTTAAAATTATTCAACTTTTTAACAAGAAAAATCTCAAGTTGATGTTAAAAATTGCTGTAAAAAATTATTTATTTAAGAGGGAATGATCTATTATGACATGTCTCTAATTTTATATTTAGATACATTGTACTTATTTTCAATTTTTCTAATTGAATTGTTCACCTATATTGCCTGTGATCCATTATTGTACATAATTAGGTAACAATACAATTTGTATTATATATGAATACTACCCTATGAAAATTGAGATGTAGTAGAGTCCGGGGTGGGGGGTGCTTCATATCATAGATTGTAGGGAAGTGGCACTGTAAACATACACCAGTATGTACTTAAATACTGATCCAAAAATGCCTTACAAAATAATTTTGTTGTTAAATTCTTTCCAGCACAAAATTATATCAAAACTGTCTTCTTTGTACACAATCCTTTAAGAGAGAACTTAATCTATTATTATATACTGATGGCAATAATTATTACATACTGATTACAGTCTGAATCAATATTAAATTGTAGCAACTTAGATTGAATCCCTAAGACCAAGGGCTACCTTCCCAATCTCTACTACAAATACTTGTTTATATATAGCAAAATTTCAATCTTTTTATCTTAATAAAAGTCAATATTCTTCCATTCTATAGAGGTCTACTTATACAAAGCAATTTATTTTAATTATTTTTAATTTTTTTTTTTATAAGGATTAATCCCTTACCTTTCTTCATGACTGCACGCAGTTGTTCTTCCAGATTTGCAGCTCTTTCATCAATTTGCTTTTGTTCTCGGTCGAGTGCTTCAATCTCACTCTTCACATACTGGTTTGTATCTTGAATCTCCTGCAGAAAATTGAAATTAAATCCATTCTTAGAATTTTCAAAACAATGACACATTTTGAATATTCCAAATTTCATTATTTTGTTATTTTGTTTTTTGTTTTTTTTTTTACTTAATTTATATTATTTCCCTTCTTTCCAAACTCTATAATTTCTCTACTTAATTCCATACACAAATCTACATGAAATTAATCATTTTCTTCTCTTCATATAGCTTTTCCTTTTACTATTGTTTCATGAAAAATAAACCTTTGGTACATCAACATCTACATCAAAGCACTTTCTTTGCATTGATAATATAACAAAAGATGTTAAGAGTTAAACAAGACAGTGCATTCCATGCTTTTATGACACAAGTCAGGAAAGTATTTTTTCTGTCTTAATTTATAAGACTTACAATGTAATGTATTTTCTAAAGAAGTAATAGATTTTTCTATATGCTGATTGAAAAGTAACTCCCTGTTTTATGTATGAGCGGCCAGCCAAAAGTCCTGACATAATACCCTGTAATGTTTTTCTTCAGGGTTGGTTAAAAGACAAGTCTACTAAACCAAACCAAAACTTTGGAAGAATTTGAATTTACCCATACATGAACTTGTATTTACACATCAAGAAGTTATGTTTTCCATACAACAAGAGTTCCTGGTGAAATCAGTTGATGCAATTCCTGGGTGGCTTGAGAAGCTGGTAGCAAAATCTGATGCCCATATTGAATTTTAAATAAAACCTTATGCTAAACACTTTCGTCTCATATTCATTTCTTGTAAAAATTATAGTTAATAAAATAATTATAAGTATTTTAAAATAGGGAGTTACTTTTCATTCATCCTGTATTTATTAATCTAACAGATTTGATCACTTTAAACATTATTTTAATGGATACCCATATTTGAGTAAGTGCTCCATTTATTTATTAAGCAGTATATTTATTTAAATTCATCTACCAGCCTGAATATTTGAGAAATCTTATTAAAGAAAAATATATGCTCTCCTGCAGGATTTGAACCTGCATCTCATCTGTTTAATAAATAAACAGAGCATCAACTCAGATATGGATATCCACAAAAATAATGTTTAAAGTGATAAAATGTAATGTATGTATTATATTTTATGAACATAAATTGTTTAATTTTCATAACAGTAGCTTGATTAAGCATCCTGATTGTTTTGGTTGGTTTTGTTTTACAGCATCAACCTCAATAGCTTAGATTTTTATTGCTGGTAATATTTTTTTTTTTCAAAAATGTATTGCTGGTAATATTTTTTTTTTCAAAAATGTATTGCTGGTAATATTTTTTTTTCAAAAATGTATTGCTGGTAATATTTTTTTTTTTCAAAATGTATTGCTGGTAATATTTTTTTTTTCAAAAATGTATTGCTGGTAATATTTTTTTTCGAAAATGTATTGTTGGTAATATTTTTTTTTTCAAAAATTTATTGCTGGTAATATTTTTTTTTCAAAAATGTATTGCTGGTAATATTTTTTTTTTCAAAAATGTATTGCTGGCAATATTTTATCTTCAAAAATGTATTGCTGGTAAAATTCATTGCTGGCAATATTTTTTTTTCCAAAAATGTATTGCTGGTAATTTTTTTTTTTCAAAAATGTATTGCCGGTCATATTTTTTCCGAAAATGTATTGCCGGTCATATTTTTTCCAAAAATGTATTGCTGATTAAATTCATTGCTGGTAATATTTTTTTACAAAAATGTATTGCTGGTATTAAAACCTATTTTATACTTGTATGTAAAAATATATTGCTGGTAATGTCTTCAAAAATGTATTGCTGGTAATATTTTCAAAAATGTGTTGCTGGTAATGTATTGTTAGTAATAATTTTTTGCAAAACCATACTGTTGGTATTAAAACCTATGTTTACACTTTCATAGTGTTTTGACCCCTGTTTGGGGGTTAACTATTTGCCCATAGCTTGGACCATAACAGGAGCTACCACGTTCACCTGATCTTGCAATTTTCTTCTATGGGGCTATGTGAAAGGACAGGTCAATACACCTCCCTCTTCCAAGAGGAACTTAAGCAGAGAATTATTGAGCCACTGGAGAATGTTATGCAAGACATGCTACAGCATGTTTGGCAGGAGCTGGACTACTGATTTGATGTATGTTGTATCACAGGTGGTCCACATATTGAAGCTTTGTGAAATCAGTTATAAAATCTATATCTCTTTGAATATCTTGTTCAAATTTTGATAAATAATTCTTTTATTGTTCATCATGAAGCCTATTTAATTTTGTTTGCCTGGAACATTTAGCTACTCAGATATTCATATTTTAAATGATGTCAATTTTTGGGAACACCTTGTATACAAGTATTATAAAGTATAGGAACTATAGTAAAAAAAAAAAAAAAAAAAAAAGTTGGGGTTAAGATCTTAATTTATTCTGTATTGGTTTAAAAGTGCTGTCTGTAAATACTTGGAACAAATCACCTGCATGCAGATAGAAAATGAAGCATGTGCACAAAAATAGAAAGGGGCATAAGACAAGGTTGCATCTTCTTACAGGATTTATTCAATCTATACATTAAGGCAATCCTAAAAGAACTACAAGGATTATCTGGATCTATTACTAATGGGAACAATCTTAATACAGAATATGAAATTGACAATGTGTTGATGATAAATACAAAAAAAAATTACAGTAATCCCTAGTTAAGATAGTAAAGTAAAGCAACAAAAAATACTAACCATCAATTATTAAAATGAGAGAATGTAAGGCCATTAACAAGAGAGACAAACTAAGATACAAATTATGAATTGGAGACATCAGGATCAAGCAAGTACAGAAATTTAATTGTCTAGGAAGTGTTATAATAATAAACAAAAATGTTATACTTAAATCTGAAGAGGCATTGGAATAATGAAAGATGCCTTACAAAATCTAAACAAAATATAGACTTGAATATAAACCCTAGACTTGAACAAGTTAAGATTGTAGTGATCAGGGAAACATCCTCTTGGGAGTCACTTTTACAGAGCAGTGGTTCGTGGAAAGAAGCTGTTCAAGTGGAACTTAGTTCTCAATGAAATACAGAGGGAATGTGGGTAGTTTGCTATAATATGAATGGCATGGTGAATATCTGCTATGAAGGTTAGAACTGGCAGAACCATGGAATGCTTTTCATCTGATCACTTTCCATGGAAGTAGCAAAAGCCACATAGCAGTGAATGCTGGACAATTTCCTAACAGACACTTGAAGCAACAGAAATGTGTTTCTACAAAAGGATGAGGAGATACCATGCATGAAACATGTGAGCAATAAGGAAATTTGAAGGAAAATAGGAACAAAAAGGACATCTAGAAACAGAAAGAGACAGGGTGAGATTTCTGGGACACATAATGAGGAAGAAGGGCTTGGAGAATTTGACACACACAGGACATTAAAAGCAAGAGGGACAAAAGAAAGCATCTTCCTTCCATTAACATAAGTTTGTTAGATAACGAATTTGTATAAATGTATTGGCAGAACAGGGACTGGAACATATAATAAGGAGACAAATATTGCTTAGAACTACAAAGGATAGAGCAATGATCACCCATATACTTAAAGGACATGACACATAAAAGAAGAATCACTCCATCATGCAAAAAAAAAAATTAAAAAAATAAAAAATAATTCACCTTTTACTATCTAATTTTGACTCAATATTATATTTTAGTATCATCAGAATCCAGCTTGCACATTTACAAATCTACCATTTGCCCATGCATTGAGTATTGTTGCCATATCTAGTCTGATGTTCCTTCTGTAAAATCCAAAGAAGGATCTGTAATGTAATCGATCCTGAGCATCTATGTCCCACCCTTTTACTGTTGAAATAGCTAAATGCAACCATCACTCTACTCCAACAGTTTCTTTTCTCGCACTTCCCACCTGTAGAACTCATGTTTTGTTGCTTCCCTGATAACTACAATCTTCAAAAATTTAAATGCAGCATCAATTGCCATCTTCTTGAATCCCGTTCATTTTTTGCCCTTTTCTCAATCCTCCCTATTCTCAGTCTTTCACTCCCTGTAATCTCCTATGCAATAGTGGTATTCCCACCTTGCTTGGGGTAAAATGATTAAAAAAAAATATGTATTTTTTATTACAAAATAAGCATAGAATTATGTATTGGAACTAACATCAACCAACGCTAAGTATACAATCTACTTAATATCAATTCAAAGGCTTAGTGAAAAGCAGAACATTTTGTGTTTGGCCTTGGTTATATATTTATGTCTTTTCAGTTATAAGTATTCTTGCTTAGAATGGGTTAGCTTAAAAAAAAAATAAAATAAAAATAAAAAAAACTTTCATAGTAAGAAAATTTACTAAGAAAATGTATTGCTGGTACTATCTTTTTTTTTTTTTTATAAAAATGTATTGCTGGTAATTTTTTTTACTATGAAAATGTATTGTTGTCACATTCACTATAAAAATGTATTTAAACGCTTTCATAGTGTTTTGACTCCAATTTGGGTGTTAACTATTTGCCCATAGCTGGGACCCTAACAGGTGCTACTATCCTGGGTCAGGGTAGACCTGGGAACAACAGCAATTAAGAGGTGGTCCTCAAAACCTATTTTTTTTCATTAGTGGTTATTATGAGTACTCAGAAATTGATATTCATCTTTTTTAATTTCAAAATTGGAATATTTTACTTTATTGACTAAAATTGAAAATAGAAAATAAATAATATTATTTTGGCATATCAATTTAATGAAAAACAAAAATGCAACAAATACAAAAAAAAATAAAAAGATTTTTGCTGTTTATAGAAAAGATATTGTAAATAACAGTGTTTGTCAAAAGTAGTTTGCAATGTTTCATCTTAGAGATTTCTCTCTAAATGATGCTCCCAAATTAGGTAAAAACCAGTGGAGATTGGCAATAACAAAAGCAAAGCATTACTTGAGAATAATCCTTATATGATATGGGAAATGGGATTAATACTAAAAATATTCAAATTAGACACTGAAAATTGTTTGCACCAATTTAATAATGTTGATCACTTTGATGTGAAGCTAAGCAAGAAAACATATTCTGTGTGCAATTCACTAATTAAATGTAACATAAGATTTTTTTAAATAAATATTGATACATTCTGTCTAAATCTCTGATATAAGGAGTCATCTACACACAGTCCTCATTTTTATTGTTATCGGGGTGAACAACAATTGAGTAGCATTAAATAAGAATTAGGAGACATCCTTAGACATGGACAGAGGAATGAGAATAATCTCCTCTTATAGATTAAATAAAGTGTTCAGTTAAAAATTCCCTGAAGGTAATCCAGATCAACAAAGAGTCCAGAGAACACAATTGTCAAAATGTTTTCATAACAAAGAGAACAACAGTATGTATATAAATAATGTAAATTATGACATGCAATGAAAAGTGGATAGAGTACAACAGTATAGCACAATATAAAGGAATATGGGACAATTGAAATGAACCATCACAAACCATACCAAAAAGCCAGTCGTCATTCAAAGAAGGTGATTCTTTTTATATGATGGAATTGAAAGAGTATATAAGGTTTTTTGTTTTGTTTTGTTTTTTCTGGAGAACCAACCAACTAGCATGAACAAATACTGATTAAAGTACCAACTGAAAACAGAAAAAAATCTCTGGAATTAGTTAAGAAAAAGGATAAATTATTTTATCAATATAATACATGTTTCTTTATTGACCAAGCAAAAATTGTTACAGCTTAGTTTTCATCCATTTACCAGATATTGCACATTTGGTTTACCATTTATTCTGATCTTTACAGAGTTCCCTTAATGAAATATTTCAATTCTCTGGAAGACAGTAAAAGATACCTAAACAAAACAACTCTTTTGTTAAGAAAGATAACAATCCTGTGAGAATGGAATCATGAAACTGTCTAAAGGATGGCAGAAGATAGTCAAGCAATAAATATATTTATATTAAAAAATAAATTGTCTTATTTTTACTGAATAATTTAAGAGATTTTTTTTCAGAAAAAAAAAACAAAAAACAATCAAAATCAAAATCACAACAATTCTTTTCTTTGTTAATTCAGAAACTGAGTAGAACACCTGCTTCTTAGTTCAAAACTTGTATAGCATCCAAACATTTTCCTGTAAATCTGGTAGAAGAAGACAGCAGATTTGGATGTAGTTGGAAACTGATTAAAATTGTTTCATGTGGATTTTATTTCATCAAAGTGCAGGAAATGAAAGCAGCCTACCAACCAAAAAATTAATTAATCAAAACAATCAAACTAGGAAATCCTAAAATAGGTACAAGTAAGTTTATATCAATCTTTTATAAAAATGAAATGATATTCAATTATTTTTATTAATTCAAAGTTTTGGTTTTCTAAATTTTAATGAAATTTGTATTTTTATTCTCTTTTTTTTTTTAGGTTTTACTTCATTTATAACTTGCTTTTTTTTCCTGAATTAGAAATGACTAGAAAAACTTTATTTTTATTTTAAGTCAAATATTTTACAAGTGATCTAAAAAAAGAACTTAAATTATTGTAGTGCTGTTAAACATACATTGTCATTTTATTTTGTTTAGCCTAGGACAGGTCCAAGGTAGGCTTCCCAAAAAAATTAACTTAATATAAAGTATCATACATGTTAATAAAAAGATTATTTTGTAACTGTTTTCTATGAATCAAAAATGTTAACAAAATTCAAACAAGCCTTTTCTGCATCATAGTATAAATTTGAAGATAAGCTTTCCCAATTGTCTTTGTTACATTTCCCATGGAGAAATGATATTGATTTTAAAAGTTACATCTACAACCTGATCTTGCTTTGGGTTGTATTATTTAAGATCACAAATCTACAAAGAGCCTTTTTATTCCTCATTCTCTGTAACAAGATTTTTGCTTTTATTTTAATAATATAACCAAGAGGAAGAATCGTTGCTGTATCTATTTTCTCAAATCACATACAATGTAGGTCAGTTGGAATATCACATGAAAATTATACATACATACATACATACATACATACATACATACACACACATACAAGATATTGTACATTGAAAGCAGGTGTAAATAAAATAGCGCTCAATGTAACAAAGATATTAACTATATATTATTTATAGATATTATACCTCACCGGTAGCATGACTCAAAGTTTCATGCACAAGGCAATTGTCAATATAAAGTATTATATATGAAGATTGCATTGTGCATGAAACTGCAAGTCATGCTACTGGTGAGGAAAAAATATCTTTCATTGAAAAATGGCCAACAAGGAAGATTTAATTAAGCTTTTATTAAACTTATCCAGGATTCTAACATTTTTTTCATTTTTTTTAGGGTTAATAAATATAAAAATTGTCCAAAGTTATTATTCTTCCAAGTGCTTTCAGTTAGTTCTATAGCCATTATCAAGGATATTGTTTCTGGTGAATTTCCATGTGTTATCTTCTACATAGTAGTTTAGCTAAGTGGAGTTCTTGCAGAAGAGTGTATGCTTTTTTAGACAGTCACAAGCTATGACACAACAGGTTGACCTGGGCATTACTTCTATTTTTAGAAAACCTTGAACACGTCATCTCCACTGCTAAACAGTGTAAAATTGATAGCAGGGGAATGGTATTTAATCAGTAAAGGTTCTCAAATAGTAAGTTGTCTATGACTATATGATTTTAAAAGAATTTTTGTGTTATCAACCAGAATTTTCCTTAAGGGTTCTTGTAAATTATGGATTAATAAATGTTTATTAATCACACTCTGCTTCAAGAGGTGATATATGATGCATCTACTTAAGGAGGTAGTAGGGTGACTGATACAGGCAATGGATTTTTGACAAGTAACACTCTTGTACTGGACACTGAAATTTGTACACTATATTGTTAACTGCTAGTTTGGATTTGGTGGGGTTATTTCAGTTAGTGTCAACAAGATTTGTGGTCTTCCATTTTCTATAATGTATTATAAACTTTATATGTTTTTCAGAAGTTACAGCAGAAATATGGTGTTTAATAATTTTGCTTATAGCAAATTTATCCTGCTTATAATTATTGTGCATCTGGTTGCAATAAAATATGTTGATGTTTTGTGGTGTTGTATTTTTATGACTGGTGTCATGTATTCTTTGAAAAACAAATTTTATTTGCTTATCAATAAGTAGTTGGGAAAATTATTGTTGGCTAGTGTTTGTTTTATGCGTCTTAGTTTGTCTAGAGGAATTTTGGTATGCTCTATTTAAGAAGTTTGTTATCACTGCTATTTTCCAGGCATTGGCTATCATAGTTTAGAAGACAAGATTTTGTATTAGTGAGTTTTTGTTATACAGGTGAGTAGAACTTTGTTGGATTTTAGCTCTATCTCAACATTGAGGAATCAAATAATTTTCCCCCCACCAAATCTAAACTAGTGATGACCAACATTACTTGAAAATAATCCTTTTATAATATGGAATTCAAATTAAGCACTGAAAATTGTTTGCACCAAATTGATTATGTTACTCACTTTGATGTGAAGCTAAGCAAGAGATATTCCATGTGCAATTCACTAATTAAATGTGAATCTACTAATTTTTAAACAAATTGATATTTTCTCACTGATGAGTTATTATTCATCTTATTCAAATATTGCAGGTTTTACAACAAAATACTAGTGTAGTGTTTGAGAGACTTCACAAACACTTAACATAATAAATACTTCTATACACATGCAAAGATGTATATACACACCAGTTTACATTAGTAAACTAAATATCATGCATATATGATGTGAAAATAATTGAAAACAAAGACAATAAGTACTAGAAATATACATTCAATGTTGTCATCACTTTATAATCACAAATGCATTCCTAATTATTGTATCTATAAATATAAGCCTGAAAGTTAATGAATAATACAAAGAAAAAATGTTTTACCCCATGAGATGCTAACAGTTCCTCCAAAATGGATTCTGACTCACTTTTCTCATATTCTTGCAGTTTTTCACCTGTATAAGTTATAAAAATGTACAGATTTTATAAACAAATTATAGATATAAGTTTATGTACAAGAGTGGGCTGAAAAGTTCATAGGCTGACTATGAAGGGTTGATGCTAGAACTGTGAAATCTTGCAGGCCTTAATTTCAACTCTTCTTATTAATAAGTGCATTGTTTCTTTCCAGGTAAACTGATATTTTGAACACTTCAAAAGTAACTAGTAGCAATCTCTCTTGAAAATGGATGAAATTAGGCATCATGGTTTTATCAAGTACCTGCAAAAAAAGGGTTTAACCCCAAGGATATTCATGCTGACATGATTGCCACATTAGGGGATGACACACCAGATTTATCAACAGTGGAAAAGAGGGCAGTTGAATTTAGGAGAGGTAGGGAGAGTCTTGAAGATGACCCAAGGTCTGGAAGCCCTGCAACTGATACCACCAAGGAAATCATTGATCATGTTCACCACTTAGTGATGGATGACAGACAATTGACTATAAATTAAATAGCTAATTCCATTAGCATATCACATGAGAGTTGAGAATATTTTGCACAATGAACTTAGCATGACAAAGGTTTCTGCTCAGTGAGTGTCATATCTTCTGACACCTGATCAAAAGTGCACCAGGCTGATCACAGAAAAATATGACATTGTTTGAAGGAGATCTAGCTGCTTTCCTTGAATATTTCCTAACCCAGGATAAGTGTTGGATTCCTTACTTTGAGCCAGAGACAATTCATACAGTGGAAACACCCCCTCCTCAACTGCTCCAAAGAAAACCAAGGTCATTTCATAAGTAGGGAAGGTAATGGCCTCAGTTTTTTGGGAGGCATTGTGTTTATTGACTATATTTAAAAGGGGCCACAATATCAATGCAGAGTACTATGTCAACTTGCTGAGGCTGTTACAAAAAGCTATCAAAACCAAATCCCCAAGAAAACTAACAAAAGGGGTCTCATTTCATCAGGGCAATGCTACAGAACACAACTCCTTGTTTTCAATCACTGCTGTGCATGACTGGCTTTGAACTGGTTGATTACCCTCTATATTCTCCTGATTTTGCCCCATCTGACTACCATCTGTTCCTCAACATGAAAAAACACTTTACTGAGAACCAATATCACAGCTTCTTCACCAATCAAGCAACACCAATGGAAGAAATGTGTGAACTGCAAGGGAGACTATGTTTAAAAATCAACCTCATTTGGTCACATTAATGAGAATATCTTGGTTAACATATGAACTTTTCAGCCAACCCACACATGACACAATCTTGTTTATGTTTTGCAGAAATCATTTTAATTTTAACACAGATGAGATTGATAATAATTATTAATATTATAGGAATTGCATACCTGAAAAAAAAAAAAAAAAGGTTGATATTACATAAAACTTCTGCCAAAAAGTTCATTCTATTCACAAACAAAATTATGAGGAAAAAAATTGTATATTTAAAAAAGATATATATATATATATATATATATATATATATATAAAATTACAAAACACTTATTGGTCAGAGTTAAATTAGACCAGGAAACAGTTATATTAAAAAATGCTCAATACACATATAAAGAAAATAAAAAATACAAATTTAATGTGCAAAGCTTTTAAATTTCAAAATTAGAGATCAGCCAATTACACTACAATGGTAGTGTAAATCTGATGGATAATATATATATATATATATATATATATATATATATATATAGAGAGAGAGAGAGAGAGAGATATATATATATCCATAAAACATTTCTGAAAATTAGTAAAGATTGCTAAACATAAACATGTTATAAAATCACTACAAAAAATATATATATATATATATATATATAAGTCTAACATTTTATATATATATATATATATATATATATATAAGTCTAACATTTATATATATATATATATATAAGTCTAACATTTATATATATATATATATATATATTGAACAATAAAAAAATATTAAAAAATTAAAATCTTCAGACACACTGGGTTATAGATTAATATTCTTTCATTTTTTTTATTATTATTTCATTTAGATTCCTCGACTAGTTTCGGCCAAAATGGCCATCATCAAGAGAAGAAATATTTCTGCTTGCTGGTAGCAGTAAACTACAGAAATGAATGTCTTGCAGGAGAAAATGAACTTTTGTCTGTAGTTTTCATTTGTTTTTTTATTTTTTATTTTTTTTATCTTTTTAACATGAATCTTTTAACACATATATATATCAGTCAACATTTCACTTTTATTAAAGTTTCATATGAAGTTTTAATAAAAGTAAAACATGTAAAATTTTAATAAAAGTGAAGTTAAAGCCTCATATAAATCTTTAATAAAAGTGAAAAATGTTAGATTGATAGACATTTCCTACTTGTTTTTATCCTATCATTTTGTTGGATTCTGATCTGTCTATGATAGCATATCACTTCTATGTACAAGCAAAAAAACAACTTTACTAGATGAAATATAACTATATGTCTCAGACACACAACACACACATTTTACCAAAGGTCAGTAAATACATGATGGGATGCTGATAAGTTCTCAGCCTGACCCACTTCTCAAAATCTGATCATACAAGAGGTTTTTGATAAGACAAACTTTTTGGTCAGACTGAAAAATTTTAGCACCCTTCATAGATGTATTTAACACATATTTGGCATACAGATCCTGTATAAAATTGTGTCCAGATGAAACCTTTTAGTAGATTTTAAACTGAAGAGCATAAAAAACATTTCTCTTTTAGTGGAGGGGAGGTATTGCCAACAAGGATCTGGTTAATAGATTTATCAGGTGCATAATCTAAATTAGTCAATATGGGTTTGAATCATCCTTTGATCAAATAAATAAATTAGCTTATATAAGTGACACTAGAATTTTGAATCAAATTAAAAAATAGTTACATTCAACTGAAATTCTACATTTGCATTCTATGTTGTTGTCATAATATAAAATTGTTATGTCAAACTGAAATGTCAATTCCTTCAATCCAACATTACATCATTTACTCCTGATTTTAAAAATGATTGAACATCCAACAGAACTTTACTTTTTAGTGGTTTCTTCAGTTCTGCTGTTAAATAAATCAAATTTAGAAAACTTTTTTTTTTAAAAATAATCATGCATAATGTCAATCAAAAATAACTAAAGCTCACTTCTACAGTAACCAAATTCACCAAAACTACAATAAAAGTTGAAACAGTTCTTAAAAACCTTCAGATTACATTTTCTTGACTGAATGAAAATTTAATTTTTACATCACCTATAGCACCACAATCATGTCTCTATAGCTTATCTGTGACTTATCTGATGAAAGCAAAATCCATTGATAAATACAACCTGTTTGGTACTGACACTCCTGACATCTATACTGTATATATGTCAGAGGTACCAAAAGACTCTAAATTATTGAAATCATTATAATTAAAATACAAACAAAAAATAAAATTTAAAAAACTGTTTAACAGAAACTGAATAATTAATAAATTAAAATCAGGAAACTCCTCATGTGTATTAAAGCAAGTGCATACATTTGCATTATCTCAAAGCAAAAGAATATATTAACTGCCCAAATTTAAACTTAATAAGAGCCACCAATCTGACTTCAGTCCATCTCCTGATCTTGAAAATGGCTGGATGACAACCAAAAGTACATTTGCATATATACGTGTATAAATTCAAGCTTGCATTAATGTTTTGTCAGGTGCATGACACCAACATTTTCTTTGATACAGTATATTATAAAATTTCATTAATATTGTCTTTTTGTTTGTTTTTCAAAACATTCTATAAAATTTTCTTTAAAGATTAAGAAAATAATATTTTTTTTTTATTTAAAAACTTAATAACATACCAGATAAAGTTTCCACATTGTTGTTTTCTGCATTTGTTTTAGGAGATGAATTTTCCAAAAATTTCTGAAAAAAAAAATATTAAATGAATTAAGATAAGCAATTTTTCTAAATTAAAAGGAACTTTAGATATTTTGATTAAATGTTTATTCAGTGTGTGACTGGGAAATTTGAATATGTAAACACAATCCATTATTTCTATGCAGTGAAAGAAATGAATTTGTAAAATTAACGTGTTAACAATATTAAATCCATAGAAAAGAAAGGTACTAAAAAAAATATTTGATAAATAAAAAAACATCATGAGTTAATGTAAATATCATTTAATACAATATATTAAAATCATATTGGATCTAAAATGATCCTTATCAGATGAACAAAGGAATTTGTTTTATTAAAATCTGTTAATTAGTATACTGACTATTGTATATTATAAAAACTTGTTAATTAGCATATGGACTATTATATATTTATTTATCAGTCTAGTTATATAGCATTCTTAGAAGAAAAGAAAATGACCTATTGAAGGCAAGAGGAACAAAGGAAAACAGAGAATAACCTAATCTAACAATCTTGTATAAATAGATGGCAGAACAGGGAGTAGGAAGGATAGTGAAAACACAAACCTTACTAAGAGCTACAAAGGATAGGATATAATGATTGATTTGTTTTTTATAGCTTATCAACCCTTTGCAGGTTATTTAAAGCAAGAAAATATTTTAGATTGTAAGAATATTTTGGCAATAATATTGATTTACTGATTGTTTTAGCATACCTACAGATAATAATGGGTATGTGTCCCCATTTCCATAAATACAGTAGTAAATACTGTATGTTGGTCTGCAGTTGGAGATTCATTGTGGAATTCACTTGACTCACTTCTAGCAGTTGACTACTTTTTCTATATGCCCCCCTGGCGAATCTTATATGTGTTGTTTGTTTCTTATGTATTATCGTTCATTACCAACCTTCATGTGATCATTCTATTCAGTAACCTTCCCTAGATTACAACACTGATATATCCTACTAATTAACCTATGGCTGGGGGAGATGAAGTAGATTCATACCTTTCCTAAGGGTATTTGCATCTAAGTGAACATAACAAATGTGATTGGAACTGAAACTCAGTTCTCCAATTTCCAATTATGAGCCATTATCCAATACACCATTCAAGCTTATGATACCTGGTATTACCAAGTGGTCACCCATCTAGGTAGTGATCAGGTTCAACATTGCTTAACTTCGGTGATCATATGAGGACCAGTGTTTCAATAGAATATGGCCATATAAGAAATTGTGGGGAGCTATGATTACCTATGGCACATAGAAGAGGAGAAAGGAAATGGTTTCATGCTTTTCCTCAAGAGCATTACTGCAATATGAATAAAAACAGTCACAACCAAAAAATTGAACGTGGTTTGCTTACTCCATTTGCAACACTAATAACACTTACATCACAAACTTTAGCATTAGAGACATGAATAATGCATATATCCAAGTTATTTCATCAACCATATCAATTATATAAATACAATTTGAAATTAAAGTACATAAATAATTATTGTAAAGGGTGTTCCAATAACTTGGACTGATTTTAAATGTGAATTAAGTTTAAGCATCTAATGATTTTTTTTTCAGATTTAACAACTTAAGTCCTTGGCAATTTCAACCATGGAAAGATTAACAATTAAACAATGTGTTAAAGTTTCAAAGTGTAACTGGAAAAATTGTTTGTAAATTCAAACAAACTGAATCGGTGGCAGATGTGAAAACACCATTGCATGCTCATTTACACCATTCAGCTGAAAACACTGTTACAGTGCATGAGAATGTGACTGAAAATCCAGACACCTTTATTCGTCATCATGTGCCGAAAATGAACATCTTCACAACATTACATAATTTCCAATTGCACTCTCAGTTGGTTGATTATGTTGACCAAAAAATCGTGAAATGCATGAAATGCATTTCTCTTTGAATGTCCATTTTCATAATAGGCTTTGATAACTTTAACACATTGTTTGATTGTTAATCTTTCCATGGTTGGAACTGCCAAAGACTTAAGTTGTTAAATCTGAAAGAAAAAGAAAAAAATCATTAGACACTTAAACTAATTCATATTTAAAATCAGTCCACGGTATTGGAACACCCTTTAGAATGTAATAAATATAAAATATACTTCATAACAATTCTTTCCCAATTGTAAATCTCCCAGACATATGACACACAAATAACAAATGTACTCAAAATATAGATTTCTGTAATATTTTCATATTGGGTTGGCTAAAAACTCTGCTTGATTTTTTGCAGTTAGATAACATTAAGAATATTTGATTTAAACTAATTTCATTAAAAAAGTTAACTTTTCACTGTCATTGTGTACTTTCTTTAAAATTTTATAAAAATTGACATTTACTTCACTGAATCTAACACTGAAGAAGAAAATAAGCAACATTTTCAGCATGCTATGTTTAGTTTTTTATCCTTGAAAGAAATGTAAAAATAGATTTGTGCTGTTGATGGAGAAGGTCTTGTAAAGGATCAAGTGTATCAAAGTGGTTTGTCATGGGTTGGAAATGTCTCACCAAACTATTCTTCACACATTGAGTTTGATTTAGTTTGTTTAGTAGCATATCAACTACTTAATGGATCATTTAATGTCAAAATTTAATTTTCTTGGGTGCTTTGGTAATTTTTTTTCAAAAATCTATTACTGCTATTTTTTTGTCCTAGGAATATGTTTATTGATAATATTTTTACAATAAAAATGTATTTTTGTACTTTTGTAATGTTTTAACCGCAGTTTGGGGGTTCACTATTTACCCATAGCTGGGACACCTAACAGGTTCTAACACCTTGGGTCAGAACAGGCCTGGGAACAACAGTAATTAAGAGGTGATTCCATGCTCCTCAAAAACTCCTGATCAGAGGTACTGCTACCAGATGTGGTCTATCATCATACCCAGGATAGTTCACAGTTGAGCAAACCAGTTAAGATTAGCAGTGATCAAATTCAGGCATTACTTGAAAATAATTAATGTCATACAACATGGAAGATAGCCAATAATACTAAAAATCATTTTCATCTCTTTGGCTATGTTAGTATCTTTGATGTGTGATTTAAAAGTAATATTTTCTGTTTTGTTTTTTTAAATTGTAATTAGTGATGAAATGTAGATACTTTACAACAACAGGAAAAGCAATAAATTCTAAGGCAAGCAAAATTAACTATCATTAACTGTACCAAAGTTTGGTCTTTATCCACTGAAGTTGTTTATATGGTGAGAATGGAAAGAAGTTCTCTGAGTTCTTTTAAATAACTGATACAAACAAAAACTGGTGCCAATTAGACCAAGTGAAAACAGCAATTAGTCTAAAATTAGTTAAAAGAAAAAGTAATATTCCATCAGGATGATACTAAAACATATTTCTGGTGACCAGTTACAGTTAAAATAAGAATTTTTCACTCCTCTATCATATTTGCCAAATATTGTACTTTCACTTCTGGTATTTACAGAATTAACTTAATAAAAAAAAATTAAAAAATAACTTTCAATTTTCTGGAAAAACTACCTACAGTGTATTTTTATTTATGTTACTGAAAAAGATTAAAAAAAAATCTGAGAAAACAGAATTATGTAGTTAGATGTAAGTTCTATGCTGTTTCTTTTCTTGCACTTCTCACTTGTGGAACACTTTTCCAGATTCTTGCTTTCCAGTCAAATTTGATCTTCAAAAATTTAAATGCAATGTCAATCATTACTGTCTGTCTTCTTAATTTCTCTTTTATTGTTCATTCTCCTTAACAATATTTCATTCTTCTCATACTCTCTAACACTACACTCAGTAACTCCTTGCTTCATAGTGGTTTTATTACCTTGCTTAGGGTCAAATGATTAAAAAACAAAAACAAGAGAATTTGGTAACCTTGAATTAATAAATAAAAGGAATATATATATATATATATATAAAGTTAAATATAACAGACAATGAATGTCTATTATGTTTGGTCATTAGCCATTCTAAACTCTGTATATTTGCTTTAATTTCAGGTGAAAATAAAGACAAAAATTGTCCAATATTTGGATATTTTTTAGTTAAGCTATTCCTTATTCTAAGCTTTCAGGTCACATGACACATCTTCACAGTGGTTATATCGACATTTAAGCAAAAATATTCACCATCAAAGATGATATTCGTTATGTTGACATAGAAGATTGCTATGTGACAATAAGGGTCACAGAATAGCAGACTCAGTTCATAAGTTCAAGATGTGGTTCTATGCAAGAGGCTGAAATATTAACAACAGAACGATATGTCTAGATGCAATATAATGTGTTATAAACAGTCTGAAATGTAATTTTGTTGAGTGTGGGTTGCTTTGTTTTAATGAAGATGGCCTCCAATATCTAAACGTTCTTTTTACTGTGTGTATGTGTGAGCATTGTCGTGCTATCACCTAATACCTGCCTAATATTATGTACATGGCTCTGTTTTTCTAAGAAATGTTGTTTAATAGAACTAAGATCACAAAGTATAATAATATATATATATATATATATATATATATATATATATATATATATAATATATATAAAATCTAATATAAAAGGCTCAAACACTAATATTCCATGGTCATAATTTATTACATTGGAATTGTAATCACAATCCAATTCAACAGACCTACAAATCCGATACAAATATATATATTTTTTAACAATAAAAAATATAAAAAAATTAAAATCTTCAGACACACTGGGTTGTAGATTAATATTCTTCTGTTTTTAATATTATTATTATTTCATTTAGATTCCTCGACTAGTTTCAGCCAACATGGCCATCATCAGAAGAAATATCTGCTTGCTGGTAGCAGTGAACTACAGAAAATATATATATATATATATATATATATATATATATATATATATAAATAAATAAAAGGACAAATGATCATGATAGTCTACATGTATACACACGCGCGCGCGTGCACACACACTATCAAAAAAACTAAAAAAACTTGAACCAATGATAAGTGCATATAAAAAAGAAAAATTGAAAAGTATAAAGTATAAAACTTTTTATTTGTATTAATTCTATATATGTGTGTATGTGTAAAACAAATATCCATCCAAAATATATATATATCTACCTTAACACTTGTTTGAGTACACATCATATAGTGTCCTTTTTTAATATTTTTAATAAAATGGTCAATATCATTAATAAGTAGTATGAGCATTATTTAAAGATGGTAGACTTAAAAGAAATTTAGGTGTTGGACCTCAAGATAGCATCTGTAAATAAAAACAAATAATTTTTGCATTAAAACCTTTGTTGAATCTAATGTTGTCTCTTGTCATATTAGCAACTAATTTACTAATTTACACTGTATTAAACATTCTTTTATTTTATATTAACAACTACAAGGCAGACTAAATTTTAAATTGAACATGTAACAGAGTCTTAATTTCAGATAGTTAAATGATTCCATTTTAATAATAACTAGCTACATTTGTAGTTTATACCAACTAAAATAAACAAATTGATTTTCTGGAAAAGTTAGCAATTGTTAAAATAAGTTAACAGACAAATCTATTTCCACTATTTACAGTGTTCAGACTGCTGTCCTCATCTTTATTGTCATATTCACATCATTTTGGCCATTGTACACTCCGACCTTCTTCAGGTGAAATACATTGGAATTTCAAGCTGAACTCTTTATTTAGTTCAGTTCGAAATTTTGACATATATCACCTGAAGAAGGGAATGTACAATGAATGAAATGTTGTGAATATAATAATAAAGATTAGGACAACAGTCTGAACAATGTAAATAGTTACAATTCCTCATCTCAGAAAAATAGACAGAAGACAAATCTATTATGTTTAGTTGTTTCACAGTAACGTTCAAAACAATACTTAAAAACTAGTAATTGATTTGAAGAATTTTCAGTATAACACTACTCTGATAAACAAATGTAAAATTATTATGTTATGTTTGCTACCTTCACAATAAATCTAACAAAAGATCATTAAGTACTAGAGCACTTCATATGGAACAAATTTATGAACATTGGCTTCCAAGGATTGTATGCTTGTCTTAAAATCTATGGTCAGATGTCTATATTAGTTTGTATGGGTTGGAAGGTATATCATAAGTTTTGAAAATGGTTGCAATCTTTAGTAAAGACAAAAAAAAATTTAAGGAAAATATAAAGAAAAAAAGGAATAAATAAATATTAAAAAAATATATAAAAATTGAATATAAACAAAAACATTAAAAAAA